TAAAAAACTTGTTGACAGCATAAACATGATTTTTTTTTCATTTATTGCTTTCGATGCATTGCTTTTATTGTTAAATTCAAAAACCAGTTTGTGTTTTTTGTTTTCATTCCTTTAGACTTACATTAATTTGTTTTGATACATGCTTGTCAGACAGTCTTTAATAATTAGACAGTCACTGTAGTTTTGTTGAACATTTGCTAATACATTAGATGCCTGGTTCCCATTATAACAGGTTTGGTTTTTGTTGTTTCCCTGTGGGTGCAGTTACAGATTAAATATCTCTGTGTGTATTCAATTAAATTACAAAATATTGATTCTACGTTGAATGAGAAGATTAATGGTTATCAAAAAGGGTGCAAGGGCTCTCAGTCTGCTGAACAGGGTTGACTCTCCTCTTATGTGTGTGACAGAGCCCTAAAAGTCATCACCAGTAACTCAGTGGGTTAACAATTTGAAGGTGGTGAGCATTTATCTCATTAAAAAAAACAGTTTGCTCAGTAAAATAATGAAAGAAGTGGTTTCAAATGATGTGGAAAGTGAGTAGGTGGCAGACTCTCTCTGCATGCACCTCCCACACAGTCCAACAGCAGCACAAGGCTCTGCTGATCAATAGTAAATCTCCAGAATGAACTAGGCTTATTCCAGGGCAAACTGAAAATAAACACAAGTCCTGCTTATCCTCAGTGTTGTGGCCTACTTGTAGAAGGAGAAAGGTCTCAAAAGCCATGACTAGCATTAAGGCATGATTTAAACAGCAATGTGGTGAACAGGAGGGAAAAGAGATTGCTCTTCCTCCTGCCTTTTCCCAAAGCTAATGTTATCAGAGACCTTCACTTCAAAATCAGTCAGTAAGATGAGAATACCAGAGAGCAACTACCCAAAATGTCCAAGGAGGCCACTCAAGTAATGCCGAGCATCCTGATGAGGAAAGGTACAAGTTGCTCCCTTCTGCATCACAGCTGGACAGGTAGACTGTTAGTGTCCCAGCATCTCTGTACCTGATATAAGCATGCAAAGACATCTGCAATAAAATCAGGTTTATTTCCTTTCTCTGGCACTATTTTGCATCATGCTTTCATGCTCGTAATCATATTGTGGACCTTTTGGTTGAGGGTTCCTCCATGGACTCCCTTCTTGCCCATAAGAAATATCAGGGCTTTAGAGCTCTTGCCAATGCAGATAGATCTGCTGTCACTGCCTTTGCTTCTGACATCCATCATGTTGTCTTCATCCACCAGCAGGTTGTCACGAATCACGCTGCACTTTTTGCCAGCTATGGTGATTCCCAATAGCAGGAACGTTTTCCGATCCCGGCCTGTGATCAAGTCCACTTCCTCAGGCAAGATGGCTGTGAGGGGCCCTCCTGACTTGGCTGCCCACATGTGCTTGCTGTCAGAGAGGCATATGATAGCCACATCTTCAATGTTCCTGTCTGCCAGGATGCTGTTGACATACTGCTTCCAGTAATCCGTCATGGCCAGGCTGTCTGATCTCTCAGAACTGCCCAACACAGAGCCTCCCCGTCTTCTGCCTGCTGGGACTTTGGTCTCAGCACACTGATCCTAATAACTTAAACTTGTGAGTTCAACCTTCAGATCCTTGCAAGGCTGAACGGGGAAGCCGGGGGAAGTAGTTAAGGCTCTTTGTTTTGCCTGTGGGGTTAGACCTGTGAAAACAGCATTTGCCACTCCAGCCTGTTCTGTGAGGTCACACCTGCCTCAAGAGCCCAGTGTCCCACAAAGTGACTTCCTCACGACCCTGCTGGCAAGAGGAAAGCTCTTGGAGGGGGTCCACGAATTTGGCACCGGGCAGCTGGCGCAGGCAGATGCCCCAAGGTGGCCAAGTGGCCTAAGACCCCCGCAATCTCAGGTGCTGCCATTTGCCGCCCCCACACCAGCTCTCCAGCCACCTGTTCCCCTTCTTCAGCGACCCCAAACGGCCGAATTTCACGGACTCATGTATTTCCGCACAGTTTACATTTTCCTGTGTCAGTTTTTAATAAAAGAACGAAAAAAAAAAAAAAAAGACCAAAAGAC